CAGCCTTTAGCTACTTTTAGCTGTTAGCCAGCCTTTAGCTACTTTTAACGAGTTAAGATTCAGTTTGTTTATTCAAGTGAAGAAAAATCAATGATTTTAATCATGTTTTTATTTTTTGACAAAGTATTTAAAAAATCTGCTTTTTATAAAGAATAAAGACTAAAATAAAAACTGTGGACAATTTAAAATAAATTATGATCCAGAACCAGAAAATCCAACCCAGAACCGGATCTTCAGGGGTTTAAAACTCCGTGGAAACTGTTTCTGACTAACGGGCCGGGCTCAAAGTTCTGGAGCTTCACTGATGAGGTGGAGGGTTCTGGACCGAAGCCGGTGGGGGGCGACGCAAGAATCGGGCCGAAGATCTGGATCGAATGTGAACAGGTAATCCAGTTTGGACTCGGATTCTTGTTTCGGTTGAAGCGATGACCGGAACGTTGCGCTCGGTGTGGAACGTGATCAGAACCGGAGGTGGTTCTGATCGGACGGTATTGTTTTTGTCACAGGGTCTCTGACGAGGCTGAAAACGGCTCCAGCTGCTCAGCCGGACACCTCGAGGGACATCCCTGTTGATGTCAAGGTCATGGGGTCAAGGTCACAGGTGACCCGTTTCTCCAAACTTGTCTTTGCTCCAGCTTGACGTCCAGTAACAGACAAGTCCAACCCTTTGTCCCCTCGATTGTCTCCAACTGTCCTACAACAGCTCCACGTGTGTTTAGGACAGAAAATGTCCTCCTTGTTTTTACTGACCACTTCCACCAAAGGACCAGTGAGTGGTTCTGGTTCTGGTTCTGGTTCAGTCTGCTCTGATCATGAAACAGTTTGATCAGCTGGTAGTCAACAGGTAAGTTCTCCACACCTGATCGCTGCACTTTCATGTCCGTAAGTCTTTAGTTGAATTTTGTCCATTTACACCGAGGACAACGACATCGTCTGTCAACCTGACCTTTGACCCCACCACCTTCATGCTTTCACCAACAGTGGAGAACCAACCAACCAATCAATCAATCAATCAATCAACCAATCAATCAATCAATTCAACTTTATTGTCCAAAACATTCAATGAAATGGAGATTTGTCTTTGACATGTGGCTCATAAAAACAACACAAGACAAAAATGTGATAAAAACTTTAAAACCAAACTTAGTAACTCGGTTAAAAACGTCCAGTTAAAACCGTTGTAAAATACACGATCCATTAAACCATTAGACTATGGGAACCTCCCAGCAGACAGTGGTTTCTGTGAGGCTGCGTTTAAATGAGACCGTGTTAAGTTCATTCAGCGCAGAGGGAACAAACGACCTTTTGCACCATTCTTCTTCACCAGTGGAACCAGCAGTCTTCTACCAGATGGTACCAGTCTGAATAATGGTTGCAGTGGATCAGTTGGGTCTTTGTAAACCTGGACTGACTTTTTTCCAGAACCTGACTGTGCAGGTCTGTAAGTGTCATTTGTTGATGACCAGTGACTTTACGACCTTGTTTGACCCCGGGACAACTTCCTGTCTCAGACTGGGAGGTTCCCAGCCCATGAGACAATATTAAATGAAGCAACTCTTTCAACCAGTGACCTGTGCACCACCTGCAAAATAATTTTAACATTAAAGCTCCTGAGCTCCTCCAGAAGGTGGAGACGCTGCCTGGATTTTTTGTAAATACAGTCGGTGTTGGGGTCAAAGGTCAACTTGTTGTCAGTTCTTGTTCCAACCTCGGAGCCTTCAGCACAAACAAAATGTTACATTTACTTTTTCTATTTAATATTACGTTTTTTTTATATAAAAGAAAAATTTCCAACGATGTTTTTCTTATTTTTTGCTCATTTCTCTTATTTTCTGTGAACTATTTTAGTCGTCCAATCAGATTCTCTCAAATGTTTGTCTCCAGGCAGAAACATGTTGAAGCTTCTTCCTGATTGGTCGGGACTTCAGGGTCAGCAGAGAAGGCTGAGCTCATCACAGTCTCTGCAGGAGGACTTGAATGATTGACAGGGACATTAACCAATCAGAATGCTGGTGTAGAGTGGGCGGGACCAAAACACGGGCTCTGAGCCTTCAGGAAGGCCTTGTGAGTTTTTGACCACGTGAAGACGTGTGATGCATTCAGTTACAATCTGTAAATTCCAGCATCCACACAGTAACTGTAGCTGGTCTGTAAAACGCAGGTTAAATATCAGATTTATGTTCACGTTGATAATTTTCAACATTAAAGTTGTTTTGGTTTCTTTACGGGATGTTTTACAGAAGAGTGAGTTCTGTGGATTAATGCTGAATTTCATTCTGAGTTACTGAAATTACATGAGTCTGTGAGCCCCAGGGCATGCTGGGTAATCTTGGGACAGAAATGGACGGACCTGTTCAGGTTCTGATGGGTCGTCCCTGTTGGTTCTGTTTGGCGTTTCTGTTCAGGCTGTGATAAAAGACGCCTCGAGTCAGATGATGTCACTTCCTGTCAGCGGGTCACTGAGTTCAGGTTATCCTTTAACAGGATGTTGCATCATTACTCAAGGCCCATGTTCAGGATGTTGTTTGAGGAACACGCCGAGTATTTATTGATGGGAGTGTTCTGGAGCGTTGGCAGTACTTTGTTGTGTTTTAATATTTGCTGTTGGAAACATTAAAGTATGTGTGTCAGGAGGAGAGGGTTCAGATCTCGTACTGGATTTCATCTCACGTGCAGAAAACACGTTTCTGAGGGCTGTAGTTAGACGTGTCCAGGGATAAACTGTTCTCGTCACTTGTCCCCTGATCTGCAGCCGGACCCCTCAGTCTCACTCTGGCACTTCCTGTTAGCTGACCTGCTGACCCGGCAGCAGTCTGGTGTCATTTTGTCCGATCGACCCAGAACTTTGGTGGACAACAGCAGACCAGAGCTGAAAAAAGTAAGGAATGTTCCTGAAAGTAGGTTCTGGGTCGGTTTGGTTGAATCTGGTTCTGAAGCTGCAGGACTCGGCCTCCAGCCTCAGGTGTAGAAGTTCTCAGCCAGCCTCCTCATTCTTTTGTTGTAATGTTCTGATTGGTTGGGGAGGCAGCGGCTGGTGACACCGTGAGCGTTGACCTCTGAGGTCCTCATCATGCCAGGAGAGCCCTCCTCAGAGTCCGTCTGCGTCATTACGGATGTGAAGTCCACCTCATCGGCAGGTTGAAGGCTCCCCCCGTTGCTCTGCAGCGTCTCTGAGGCGCCTCCTTTCAGCTCGTCTTTCTGCACGTTCGGATGGAAGAAGTTATAATAAATCGTTTTTAAAAACAGGCCGAGGATGTAAACTCCGACCACGCTGGTGGCGGTGACGGCAGCATGAAGCGGTGTGACGTTGAAGAGAACCGGAGGATCCGTGGTCATCCTCCAGTACCAGAGCCCACAGAGGATGGAGATGTCAGCCAGGATGTAGCCGTGGTACAGCAGCGTCTTCTTCCTCGTCCTCCCCTCGGCCACGTTGAACCAGCTGAAGTACCAGATGAGGCCCACGGTGGCTCTGAACAGCCACCTTCCAAACGTGCAGTCCATCATTTCTGTCTTGGACCTCCAGGCGAAGAAGAACAGGACCAGCCAGGAGCAGAAGACGTGGGCGAAGATGAAGTAAGGCAGCACCGAGGCGAAGAGCGAGAGGGCAACGAGTCGAGGAAACAGGAGGAGCAGGTTCCACAAGAAGAAGATGAAGGATGAGAAGAGGTTCTGCGTCTTCTTGTCCGTCAAGAAGGAGCGCAGGCAGCGGTGGTAGGTGGTGACGCAGAAGGCCACGGCCGACATGGATCCAACGGTCTTCAGCACTGAGGAGAAACATCAGGAGAGCATTCTGTCACCTCTCTGACCTTCACACACAAACACCACAGAGGAAACAGAACCAGGCTCTGGAGGGGTCCAACAATGGACCAGCCTACAGCGTCCCTGCAGGAGCACGTCAGTGAACCAGCAGAATCTGACGGCGAGCCTCGCGCCACGTGCACGCCCAGCTCCTCCTGCAGAGCTCCATGACATGAATATTAAACTGAGGCGTGTCAGAGGAGCTGCCTCACGTGCACTCAGTTCTGTGTTGATGAGCATGTGCGTGCACATTGTTTCACACGCATGTTGTAGTAGGCAGTCCGTGCACGTCTTTGCGCATGAGGCCCGTGGCCTCTGGGCCGTATCTGTACCTGTCAGGAGATCGAGCCGTCCCTCCTGCAGGATGGCTGTGAGCATCAGGACGATCTGTGGAGCGCTCTCCGAGAACGTCTCGATGAGCCGCAGCATGGCCAGGTCGTGGCTCAGGAACTTGGCGTAATCGCCCGCGCGGCTGCTCAGTACGAAGCAGCTCCTCAGCGACGTCTCAAAGACGCCTGCATGCCTGGAACGAAACCAGAGAAACCAGAATGAGTCAGAGGAACGTTGGGAATTCATGCACAGAGCAGTTCGTGGGAGAAGAACGAGTTCAAGTTCAACATCCTCAAACTGGAACCAAGAACTTCCTCATGACTCGGGTTTCCTCTGTGACAGGACTGAGAGGCTGCACGTGTCCCAACAGGTCTGACGTGCAGCGTCGAGGAGATGACGGGTCATGACTGCAGGGTTGGACGACGCATGATGAAGACGACGTGATCAGAAACCACAGAGATCAATGTGGGCAGGAGAAACGGACGTGGACAGCTTCGTTGCTTCTGTCTCTGGAAGAACTTCAGACTGATCCCACGCGTCACTCCTGAAGGTTCCACGCTTCATAAAGTTCTGGATCAGTTCTGGATCAGTGATCTAGTTTCACTGAAATGAAAATGGCCGGAGGCACAGATGACGCCTCGGTATGTGAGAGCAAGGACGTCGGGAGCATCCGTAGTGTGGGGCGGCACAATGATGTGTGTGTGTGTGAGCGTGCATGTGTGCACGTAAAAAAAGGTGTTCACTAGTGAACATCAAAGCAACATTTCTCCAAGATCTCCTTTAATTCCACACATTTAAAACATGTTTCTCTCCAAGTTTGTGTAAATTCATCTGTGGATTAAAGACATTTTAACTTTAATACACTTTAACACAGAGCGTCAGGTCGACACTATTTGTGTTTATAGAGAAATAAAAACCATCACTGGACTCTTTTACTTGTGTTCAACACTCCTCATGTAAATGATGTTTGTCATGAAGCTTGAGGACAATAAGGTGTGGGGGTTTAGAGACATTTCAACTTTAATGCACCTGAACACACAGAGTCTCTTCCACCTGCAGCGTCTCACAGTTACTGCTGAGATAAGATGCTACAGACGCAGCTCCTCTCCTCCCAACATGAATACATGTTGATGATCAACCCCTGGTCAACCACTGCCCGCACTAAGCTGCTAAACTGGTGAGCGAGTAACACAGGAACCTCCACCTCCTCCACCTGTGCGCGTTTTCTGCCGAGGCAGGAGGAGACGGTGGAGAGTTGGAGGTAACCAGGAAAACCTGGAGTGGAGTTTTAGTGGTTTGAGTATTCTATTAATCAAGTGGAATGGATTCGTTCACGAAAGTTTCATAGTAAAAGTGGTGGGGTCCAAATGAACGTTTTTTTATGTGGGGGGGACTTGTCCCCTTCACATATGGTTGCAACGCCTGTGTGTGAGACGTCCACTTGTCCCCGAGCGGCTCCAGCTGCGTCTCCACACGGCAGGTTCCAGATCTTCTCAGTGTTCAGCAGGATGACGTTCTTAACCTTTGACCCGTGTGCCCTTCCTGATGAGCGGCATGTTTTGGGTCGTCCTGTTGGAGAAGCTGAGCTTCCTGATGCACAGACTCAAGGGTCCCCAGAACTGATCCCCAGAACTGATCCTGGTCCTGGTCTCGCAGTAGGTCTGCTGTTCCTTTTTCAGTCGACGTGACGGGAACCACAAAACCAAAAGCTCCAGTTTTGTCTGAGAAACTTCTCAGATCTTGGTTCTTGTCAACATCAGTTAGGATTCCTGTGGTACTAATGGTCAAACATTTAGTTTGAAAAGTGAATAATGAAAGTTAATTAACTGTTTAAGGGACCAACACATGTAACGGTCAGATATATGCGTTTGTTAGTGTCTGATGGCATCAGAGCAGTTCAGTTCCTGTAAATGAAAGTAGTTTCACAAAACGACACGCCCTCAGATTAAAGCAACAAAAGGAACTAGTTCCTTTTAAAAGAAGAGCGTTGACGAAACAGACGATGTGAAACAGGAGGATCAGAAGATCTGGGCTGACCTGACGTAGACCCCCAGCTGGAACACGTGAAGACTCGTCATGCTGGGCTTCAGATGTTCCTCCACCTCTGTGTGCATCTTAAACTCGTCGTATTTGTACCAGAGCCAGCTGTAGAGCTGAGCGAGCACCGAGGAGCCCATGAGCAGCAGCAGCAGAACACCCAGGCACACGTAGGACCCCTCCTGGTAGAAGTTCACCGCAGCCAGAACGTCCAGCACGATGTCCAACAGAAACAAGGGCAGACCCAAAGAGGACAGCAGGAAATCCACAGAAGAACTCTTGAAGCGAGCCATCTGGAGCGTCTGGTCCGTCTGCAGCTTCATGACGCTTAAATAGACCCGGCAGCAGATCCAAAGTTCAGGTGTTGGAGCAGCAGCTCCACCCACAGACTCTGACACGCCTTAAAGTGAAACCACAACCTGCAGCACGCCTGATCCGGCTGGAAACTACGAGCATGTGAACACATCACAACCAGCAGCACAAACCACTGACCCTGTGCTGGCTGACGAAACAGTTGACCAGTCTGAGTCCAGTTTGAGCACCACAAGACTTGGAGTCACTCCTGAGCTCACACACGAGCTCCAGCTTTATAACTCTGCCACACCTTACAAACCCACGGGTCAACACTTCTCCATGCAGGAGACCCAAACCCCTCTGAACCAGGCTGACAAAGGTCCTAACGAGTAGTTCCAGTCCAACCTGCAGGAGACCCAAACCCCTCTGAACCAGGATGACAAAGGTCCTAACGAGTAGTTCCAGTCCAACCTGCAGCTGATCTAAGAACAAACCAGACATTCAAAGCTGTGAGCTCACTCCGGACAATTAGACCTGATGAAGACAAACGTCTTCAGCTACAGAAGTTCAGTTGTTGTGGTTTTTTTAATTCTTTGAGAATCAGAAAAAAGTCCAGTTTCTCTGAGTGTGTGTGGTTCTCCAAGCTGTGGAGTCACGAGTCTGATTTTCACACGCTGCTTCTGCTTTAGCTTTTCTGAATGAATCACGCTGTAATACATCATGACTTCTTCATGATCTGAGGATGGACTGACCCATCGTCAAACCAAATAAGGATCAGATGATGTTTGGGGGATTTTACCTGGGATGTGTTGCATAAATGCTCAGATGAAACCATCTTTTGGGTTTTGATTGTGAACATGATTAACCTTCAGACCAAAGGTGGAAATCCTTTAGAGGTCAACTTAAAACTCGTGAGGAACTATATTTCCCCCCGATTTTCCATCAGTGGTTTAGTCCATTGTAGAGAGGCCACCAAGACACCTGAGACCAGTCTGAAGGGGGTTCAAGCTTCAGCAGGTGAGATGAGTCTGAGCACGTGCAGCTGTTGCTCTGCCGGTCTGAGCTGAAGACACGTTACAGGAAACTGGTTAAATAAATATTAATGTTTGGAAAACTATTTGAGAATGTATGAGTTTTAATTTGAGTTTCAAGGTTCCTTATTGTCAAACACACCCCATGTGGTACATGTGGTGGAACAAAATTATGTCCACAGGGTCCCAGTTACATCCAACAATAAAATGTATAAGAAAAGCGTTAATAAGATCAAAGATATGAACTAAGAACACACTAAACACTAATATCACAAAAACAATACGTTGAACAACAGCAGCACGAACATGAGTCTGTGTGAGCAGATGAGTATGAATGAACACAGCAACATGAAACAGATCAGCAGCATGAGATCAGCAGCACATATCAACAACCAAGTGGCATCATAAAGATTATCCAGGTTAGAGAGTCATGAGTCTAACAGCCTCAGGGTAGAAGCTGTTCCTCAGTCTAGTGGTTCTACACTTAATGCTCCTCAACCTCCTTCCTGAGGGGAGTGGGGCAAAAAGTGTGTGTGCTGGGTGAGTGTGGTCCTTCACGATGCAGGTGGCCCTTTTCCTGCATCTGGAGGTGTAGATGTCTGTGATGGTGGGGAGTCTTCTGTGCAGCCTTCACCACTGGAGTCCACCATGGAGGACCTGAGTGACATGTCCAGAGAGGACATGGACGGAGTTGGAGTGAGGACAGAGGAGGACACTCCCTGACGAGGGAACAGCTGACAGAAAACTTTAAAGAGGTTGAATAATTACACAATCCTTTCTTTTACATCACATAGTTTGATTTATTTGGTGCAACTTTGTAAACATTTTATTTCATTTTTATATTAAAAGGGTTTTTTTTGTTTTTTTTGTAAAGATGGCCATTTTTTATTGACCATGATTGACTGATGGCAATAAAAGCTTAAAACTCCAAAGGGGTGAACAATACAAGTCAAATTCAAAATATCTATATTAGAGTTCTTCATCTCTGAACGAGGAAACCTGCGCCCAGAATCTGCTCCGAATTAATCTGCTGGATTTCTGCGTCCTCTGTAATCAAATGGACTCCACCCTCGCTTCACTTATTATTATAATAATAATATTAATTTAATATGAAGGCACCTGCCATGACTCTAAGACTGTGCAATAAAATACAATATTAACTGCAGGAAAAACAAAACTACAAACAAAAATGTATAATGCATCTTAAATCAGATGGAGAGAGGTGTTCATGTCCAGGGGGGACCGTTCCAGAGGCGGGTGCTGAGACTGAATGCTCCTGAGCGTGTCGTGGTCCGACCAGCAGGAGGATGGTGGAGCAGGAGAGCAGGTGGGGGCTGATGTGGAGAACAGCCCAACAATGAAAACTTCAAATGAAAAACAGTGAGGGCTTTGAAGATGAGCATTATTTTACATGAAACGTGATATTTAATGGAGCCAGTGAAGATGCTGCAGGATTGGTTGCTGCTGGGAGGGGTTCTGGAGATGATACGAGCCGCAGAGTCTTGGACCAGTTGGAGTTTATGGATGGACTGGGAGTTCATGTGAATGGGATGTGACTGAAGAGTGAACGAGCGGCAGCACTGGTGGGTGAGATGGAGGCGAGCGATGTTATGGAGGTGAAACTGCTGAACGAGTGATGCTATGAAAGGATGACGTGCAGACTCGGCCTGGGCGAGGGGACCTGAGGGTCTGTCCATGAGAATGGAAACGTTTCTGGTTTGGTACCAGTAAGTTCTGCTGAGTCACTGTTTAGTTGAGGAAGTTTCTGGTGAACCAGGATCTGATGCAGAGAGACGAGGGTGGGGGGGCAGAGCGGCTGGGTGCACGTTGTGCTCTGTCTGAGGAATGTTGTCGATCTGAAGAGATCACAAAGAACCTGGAGTACCTGAGAGAACTGGTTTACAGAGGAGGAGGAGAAAGTCCTGATGCAGCTCCTACAGGCTCCTTTTCATTCAACCTTTTTTTCTACAGGTAAATCCCACTGAGCCTCGAGGACTCATTTACAGGAGAGACCTGATTTCAACAAAGAAAGATGACAACAATGGACAACAGCAACAACAATAAACAGTTATAAAAAGTCATACTGCAGTTTTGTTTTGTTTTTTTTACAAATAGGATGGCTAAAAGAAAAAGGTAACAAACAAAAAACAGCTAGATTCTAAGGTGAATGTAGAAAACTAAAAACAGGAACATGTCTGCATTGGTCCCTGCCAGGAGTCCAACAGATTCTTAAAGACACTTAGAGAGGTCAAAGGTCGAGAGCTTCAGATCTTTTTCCAAGATATTCCAGGAAACAGGAGCGGAGTAGGAGAAGGTCCTTTTGTCTAGTTCAGTCCTCACTGAGGGAACACTGCAGGTAATGATGTCCTGAGAGCGCACGCTGTAGCTGCACTCACACAGAGACATGTAGGAGGAGATGTATGAAGGCAGCAGACCAGGAAGTGATTTAAAGATGAAAATGTACCAGTGAGAGAGTCTGTGTGAAGTTAATGATGTCCAGTTAACCAGTGGATACTGGGTGCAGTGGTGGGTACGGTAGTTACAGCCAGTTATGAATCTTAGTGCACCATGATAGACAGCATCCAACATCTGCAGCATCCAACATCTGCAGGGTTCTTGTAGGAGCGTTCATGTAAATAATGTCACCATAATCAATGGAGGGAAGGAAAGTCACAGATACAAGGTGTTTCCTAACATTCAGGGTTAGACAGGATCTGTTTCTGAAAAAGAAACCCAGTTTAACTTTCAGTTTCTTTATCAAGTTTTCCACATGGAGCTTAAAAGAGAGATGTGAGTCGACCAAGATACACAAATATTTATAGGAATCAACAAACTCAATGGGGACACCATTTGAGGATAAAATCAGAGGAAGAACTGCTGGGACTGACTTTCTGTTAGATAAAAGCATCCCTTTGGTTTTACCGGCATTTAGGACAAGTTTGAGGCGAAACAAATCAGTCTGGATGTTGTTGAATGCAGATTTCAAAAGCTGGAAAGCCTTAGCAACAGTTTTAGCTCGACAATAAACAACTGTGTCGTCAGCATAGAAATGTATGGATGCATTAGGGATGTTTTTACCTACATTATGTATGTAGATTGTAAAGAGGGTGGGTCCTAAGACTGAGCCTTGTGGTACACCATTGTTGACTGTTAAATAACTGGAGGAAGTACCATTATGTTGAACACATTGCCTCCGGTCTGAAAGATAGTTAGAGAACCAACCAATGGTGTGTTCTGAGAAACCAATTTCTGAGAGTTTATGACACAAGATGTTCTGATCCACAGAGTCAGAATCTTTAGACAGGTCTAAGAAAAGTGCAGCACAATAATCCTTAGCATCCAGTGCTTCAACAAAGTCATTAAGAACCTTCAGTGAAGCAGTGGTTGTGCTGTGTTGTTTCCTGAAACCAGATTGATGTGGAGGTAAGATGTTAAATGAGTCCAGGTAATTTTTGATTTGAGAGTTTATCAGTTTTTCTAGAACCTTGGCTAAAATGCAGAGTTTAGAGATTGGTCGATAGTTGTTCAGTGAGGTAGGGTCTCCTCCCTTCAGCAAAGGAAGAACAAAGGCTGTTTTCCAAGTGTCTGGGATGGAGTTTTGTCTTATGGAGAGATTGAAGATGTGGGTCACAGGGACTGTGATGATATGAGC